TATAGCCAGAATAGACGAGTTGTTCGGCCTTGATGTGAGATGCTAGTGCTGCTTGTGGCTGTACTTCGCCTTGACCCATCTGATGGTTGAATGTCCAGTGTCATTGTCAGCATGAGGCTTGAGCCCGATTTCGGTTTTGATATGACTGATTCGTTCTTGTTGTTAATCAGAGCGACCGACTGAACAGGAATCTGTTGTTGGAGGTTGTAATATGAATGCACGTAGATCAGCCATAAAAGACGACTGGCGATCTCCATTATGAGAAACGAGAAGTAAAGCACTTTTCTGGTAAGCACGAGGTTCATACTGTGATAGTACTTGATGTGAATCGTTAGTATATCCGAAGAATCGCTTGCAAAACATAGCTGCAAACGCCCCTCAGCAACTGTAAGGTTTATTCCTGGCTCGTAATCATTTGGCGACGATAAAATAAACTAGTAAAACAAGTTAACCATGTGTTGAGCGCTAAGGTGTGCAGCTAGCCGTCGTTCAGAGTTCGTCATCCATTCGTATTACTGTCACATTTCATGGTACTGTTTGTCGGTCGCTCTGCTTTGTTCGCGTTGGCTAAATGTCACAGCAGGACAACAGTGCCAATTTTGGATTCGTTGAACATGTTGTATGGTGCGAACAAATTTTCTGTCATGCTCGTGCTTTAGTTTTCGATTCTTTTCTCTTCTTATACGATTCTTGATGTTTTTCAGGGATGGTCTATGGAAGTATTCGCCGAATTGAATGTAAGTTGTTGGCGTGCATCACGTCGCGTCGTGTCGCGTCGCGATTTGACTATGGCCGTTTGTCGTATGCCGTTGACCGTTTGTTGTTTGTTTATGCATCCATGTTGTTTCGTCGGCTCGTTCCCTGGCTCGCTTTGGCGCATGCTTTGAATGCGTGTGTGCTGTTTGTGGCAGTGGCTGACGGACCGTCGTTGCTCATGTCTTCATTTCTGTCGTCGTCTTCTGAACGGTCGCCGCGTCGATCCGATAGTTCTAAGCGGTTTTTGTTCGATTTGCAGGAGCTGTGCCGCATCAACAACCAGCTGCTGATCGCCCTCGGTGTTGGTCACCCGAAAGTCGACCAGATCTGCACGACACTCGCCCGTTACGGAATCCATCCAAAGATGACCGGCGCCGGTGGCGGAGGATCAGTGTTCGCCTTTCTCAAACCAGGTACTGAAGGTAATCGTGATCGATAATTCATTGACGATTGTTGCCGTTTTAACTTTCAACTACCCTAACTTCCCATGTATGACTCAAGCGCGTGTTCTGCAGCTGCTCGCTCATATAGTTCGTCAGCCCGTGACATTATCTCGAGGAATGCTATGGTTGTATGCTACAACTACCGTGCCGCCTTTTTATCTTGTGGCACATTTACTGTCGCTTGTGAAATTCAGTAGTTACGGGTAGCAGGGATGGGAGCAAATGTTGTCAGCTGCTTCCCTGTTCTTTTCCAGTTTTGTGTAGTCATCGATTCATTCACTCTGCTGCGTCCTTCGCGGCACAAGCGATGGTAAATTTTATTTCAGTCTGTACGAAGGGACAAAATCATCGCAGCTACCTGTACCTGTAATCTGAGTCAGCTTATATCATCAGACTGTTTCAGCCCACTATTCCTTGAGAGTCTATCTTAGGTGTCCGACATCTACAATACGCCTGCGTACTTGATTATTTAATTTTGCCATACTGCCGATTGTCTTTTATCTTGAGCGTTTCCAGCTTCTGAGGGTAAAATCAAGAACTTTTCTGTTTTATGGCTGGTCAGGTCTTCTTCATCTATTCATTACTCATTGTCATTTTAATTTTTATTCGTCTTTTGTCCTTGGCGTCCATGACGCTGGGTTTCGCCGATTGAATTAAATCAAAACGGGTATTGTGCTTCTTCAGACTGAGACTGAGAAGTCACAGCTGCGATGGCTTGGTCATGTCATATGTTGCGAATGCTTCCAGAAAGGAAGGTGAAACAGACACTGTTTGTCCAACCAATCGGCAGAAGGCCCAGGGGACGGCCAAGATTAACCTTGAACAAGTGTATTGAAGGACTCTTCTCCAGACTTTGGTTGTTTTCTGCCAAAGCTCAAACGCTAGCGCATGATCAGAAACGTTGGAGACACGTCTCACTGTTTCCTGTCTCGCTTCGCGACCCGAAAGAACAAGTTGTCGTCAAAACTGATTGCTTGATTGAGATACTATTCTATCTTGTATATTACGGGTTTATCGTTAGAGACGCTTGAAGCGTATTAGATTCTAAACTGGGGACCATTTTGATGGAAGAGAGCGCAGCTGAGGCTCTAAAGGATGAGGATAGAAAGTCCGGCCTCTATTCTTTCTGGTACTTACGTTTGGCATGCTGAACATGTCTGATTTCTAAGTCAAGCAATAGGTGCACTGCAGGTGGTAGCAAACTTCCTCGAACTAAAGGGATCGCTGACGAATTTCTGTGCGAATAGTTAGTAAAGTTATCTTTTCTCGTTTCGCTCAGCTTTCTATTAAATGCTAAATCATATACGCACATTTTTGAGAAAAATGTGTCAACTGAATAAGTACCGCTCGCTGTACATGGCAATTTAGGGTACGTTGAACGCGTCGTACCTCGGATCGGCCCAGGGCTGCACGTTACCTTACTCTGGGTTTCAGCTTAGCCCTAAGATCTTTATTTTGTCCTTTCTTTCAACTTTCAAGTTGTTATTTCCTCTTATTTGTCTTAATTACAGTTATACGAAAGTGTGGCGGTCGACGCATGCTTCTTCGACACAATCGTTTCTTCGTCACCGACGTATCGTTTTTCTTTAGTCTTTTTTTCTTGATCCCGCTCTCTGAAACTTATTTTTTACTGCTTTCGAGTCTTGAATGTTATCCACTCGGTTCTTTACAACAGCTTCAGTAAATAATAACCTTCTTCAATATGCGTTAAATTAAGGGATCGTATTCTTCAAGTTATCTCCGGCACGGTTTCGTCCTGAGCATTAGAAATCGTGTATTTTAAAACCTAAAATTGAATATATTCAACAGCTTTCAACAGCAGAAATAACAGTATAGACTAAGATGGATAGCATTTAGATTCAGTTTCGGCTGTCTGTTTGTTTTCGCGAGTCATTGTTTTGCCCCACGATGTAAGCAGGCAGTGTCTCTGAACAAGATCATCAACCTTTTATATAATTGGTAACTTAAAATCATGTCCATTAAATCTTGCAAACATGAACCAGCAAATGGAAATAAAACCTTTTGGTTCTTTAACTTCTGCCTTTAGTCGCAATATCTGTTTCCTTGACGGGGATTGTTCAGTTGGTATAGCCTCGAACCTAGAACCAAGAGATTCCGGGTTGAAGCCCGTAGTGTCACTCGCCTTCTTCTTTCTTCCCAGGTTAATAAATAGGTGTAACTTTGTAAAAAGAAGAAAAGACACAGGATTCTGTCTGCTCCAAATTTATACACTCTGCCTTCAAAATAAGGCACTCCTGGCTCATGTCAAAGAAACGAATATCAGCGCCGCACCGCACACTTCATGAAAATAAGGGCACCATTAGTAACCCATAATGATGCAAGTGTAACGAAGATCAACATAGCTTCTCTCTTCGAAAACTACCGGTGCTTGAGACATTTGCAAGTAATTTCTGTTCTGTCGAGTTCAGGTGTGACCTGAATGGAAAATGTTTTAAACACTGTCTGAGTACAGACATCCGAGCGGCCCAGAGACTTTGGCGGCTACAAAGATAGGCGCCAACTCATGCTAGAAGCGGTGTCTTCAGGAAGCGCATGTACTAACCAAAACCATAAAAGCTAGAGGGCTACAAAAACCTGAAGGCGAGCGAACTAAAAAAATGAATACTAAATAATCCTAGTCACTCATAAAGCAGATCAAAGTGGGTACTACATCATCATCATCATCTTCCATCGCCGCTTCTCCTTTCGGGTCGGGAGGCAGACGCGCCAGACAAAGCTTCGGCAAAAGACAAATGGAGCCTGGAACAGACCCCTAGCACTAAGTTAATCTTGGCCGTCCCCTGGGCCTTCTCCCAGTTAGATCTGCAAGCAACAGCGGCTTAGCCTTCTTTTCATGAGGCATTCGCAACACATCCCAAGCCATCGAAGCTGTGACTTCTCAATCTGGAGAAGCAAAGGCTATATACTAAGGCTCTTCCGGATTTCATTATTCCGCACCATGTTGAGATGGTAAGGCCAGCGACTCGTCCAAGAAAGCCCATTTCAGCAGCTTGTAGCCGGGTGCGAAGTTTTTCACTGATGATCCACGATTCATGACCGTAGGTAAGCATGAGGATACAGATCGACTAGAACACCGAGAGCTTAGTTTTCAGACTGAGTTCTACTTTAGTCACAATGGGTCGGGCTACTTCACGCAGAACGCCACTGGCTACTCCAATTCGCCGGTCGATCTCTTCGTCCAATTTCCATCACTAGTAAGTACAATTCCGAGGTACCTCAACTTCTCCACATGCTCCACTGCCTCTCCGTTAATCTAAACAGAGCAACGGGCAAGGGAACGAGAAAGCCTAGTCCTAGGCTTTTCGTTTTAGATGCGTTCACACGCATGCCGGTCACGTCGCAGTAGGCTGCTAACCTTTTTAGGGAGCACTTTAGATCAGTTTCAGAAGATGCTAATAAAACAAGATCGTCTGCAAACAGCAATCTTCTAGACTTCACATCTCCTACACCGATACCCTCATCGCCTTGGCAGCTCCTAACTATTCTATCCATCTACAACATGGACAGGATA